AAAGTATTAAATGGCTTGCGAGTGAAATCCCCTGAGTTCAACAGGCAGCTGATGGCAAGGTCTCCAGAGAGCCCAGCTGTCTTCATAATCTAGGGGAGCCACCCTGAACCCTGGCTACAGCAGGCTTGGGGCACTTCCCAGACTGCCCAGAGAGTGTCATTCCACACAAGTGCAGATCCTGGGGCATTTCCCCACTAAGACCCTGGGCACACTTTGAGCACTTGTAGAAAACCCAAAGAGGGAAGCTCACCCTCCTCACAATCGACCCTCCTGGCATAGGAGGGGCAGGGCCTTAACTGTACGTAACTGGTGCAATGACCTTACATTTTATGAACATCAGAAACGTCAGCCCTAAGGCATGGGAGGTGCCTATTTTAGAATTTCTTGGTATGCCTCAAAAACTAAACCGTTGGGCTGATGCGCTGGTATTGATCCCAAACTGCGTGAGGTAGCGCGGGGGTAGGGCAGCCACTGCGGACATCTGTCTTTTTCCACTCAGTCACTCACCAACAGTTCAGTGGGGCTTTTTCACATGTAATTGAACTGAAATCTTCCCAGTCACTACTAACTCGTCAGTGATTTCCAATCTGCATGAACAGCCCTTGGAGAGCAACTAGAAACCAAGAAGGAATCGACTGACAGTGCATCAATTTGAAGAGAAGGGACAATGGGAACACTGAACCATGTTCTTAACATTTCTGCCCCAGGCTTCACTTAATGCATGATAAATACCATGCACGTGACATGGCATTTACCATAGAAGCCAGCATTTTCTTTTTTTCTCTTTTTTCCCAATTATTTTGCTCTTTTTTGATACAAGAACCAGTTGTTTTTTTGTTTGTTTTGTTTTGTTTTTTAAGTAAACAATCTACCTCTAAAAATTCCAAAGGCATCATCCTCAATATCTTCCTTTTTATTCAGCCTTCATCCAGTGACCCAGCAAGTCTGGTCAGTGCTAATCCAGCCACTGCTCTCCATTGTTAACAACTCACCCGTGGTCAGGGCACCACCTCATCTCCTGGATTCGTGTGGCATCCTCCTTCCCGACTGGCTATTCCACCTCTATTTTGGGCTTTTCCATCCAGTGGCAATGCTGATATTCTTAAAGCGGAAATCAGATCACATCTTTATCCTTCTTTAAACCTTTCAGCTGCTTGCTTTTCCCACAGTCTCAGCCTCCTCCAGGCAGCCACCAAGGCAGCGCCTGTCTCCGTATCTGCCGCCTTCACCGGTACCACTACAACCACACTCTTCCCAGACCCTCATCTTTCTCTGACTCCTGTCTGCAAAAGATCACTCTAAAGTTAGAGAGATCACAAGACCTTACACAACAGCACGCATTATTTTACAATGGATGATGAAAGGGACAGAACACAGGAAAGAAAGACACAAGCATCTCATTTTGTAGTCAATCATTTTGTTTTCTTCTTTTGCAGACTTTGGGCAGACATATCCTAATAGGGCTCAGAACAATCAAAAATGTTTTTGAAAGTTTGCAAAACACAGATTGGATGCTGAAAGGAAAGATATTTGACAGCCATACTCCTCGTTTGCAATTATATCCCTGAGCATCTTTATGCTTTTTGAGGTTGTCCTGTCCTGCAGCGCGAACTTCCTCTTCTTCAGTCAAAGGACAGGGCCCTGGAGAAATCTAAATGCAATTTAAGAGTCCTCCGGCGGTCAGTATAGCTATTTGCATTCAAAGAAAAGTCATTTCTGAAGCATTCCTTTCAGAATTCCAATTAGAGGTTTAAAACACCCACACATAAATGAGAAAAGTTTAAAATGAGGTGTAGAATTATACTGAGGTTACTAATTTAATAATGTTCATGGCATCCAATAAATGTTTCACAGTACATAACACATTTCAAGTTATATTCGGGTTACTCTGGGTTAATAGTCCCTTTAATTATTCTAATCAGATAAACTTGCTTGCCAAGCTGTATCACTTCCCATTTGGTTTCATCATCCCACTGTCCATTTTTAATGGCTTTGCCAGTGGTGATGCTAAGGGAGTCAGTTCTACCCAGGGAAGAGGGGAATTCATCTGCGACTCTGAATTCACTCACTGTTTCCAGATTTAAAATGACCTGCTGAACCAGGCAGTGGGCTAACTAGTGAAGCAAAGCACAACCAAGTTTTTACCTTGTGAGAGTGCCGGCTCCAGCTAGTGATGACAAGAGAACTACCTGCGGGGTGCAACTGGTCAGGAAAGGGGTCCGTGCAGTGCAGCCTGCTCAAAGATGGCGTCCACAAGGCTCTGTGGAAGCTGAGACACAAAGCAAAGTTGAGGAAGCCCAAGCAGAGGTGTGGGTGTCCACAGCAAAGGAAGCATCCCGCACAGAGACCTACAGGTAGTGTCCAGGTGCTCTGAGTCCCAGCTGGGACGCTTCCACGGGGCATTTTCCTTGCGCTTGCGGGCCTTCTTTTTCCTGAGTCTCTGCCATCCGAGGTTCCTTCTCCCCCTCCTGAGCTCACCTGTGTGGCCCACTCTCCTCATTTTCAGATCTGGTGACAACGCACAATCTCAGAGCCTTCCTCAGCACCACCTTCCAAAAGCTATACTCTATGTTTTTATTTTGCCAAACATAAATTCAGATGATGAGAATGAAGTGAGGTGAAATGCACACAGCTGGTGGGAATGTACAGCAAGATTTGTCTCAGTAACTATCTGAATTATTTTACCTCTGGATTTACACATTTAGGGCCACAAAGGGTGACTTTTCTGGTACTATACTGCACTTGACTACAGCATAAGCTTCATGGGGACAAGCAGCTTTTGTTCTGCTTCTTTGATGGCTGCTGAGTACCTAAGGTAGCTCTTGGTACATTATTAGACGTTCAATAGCTTTTGAAAACAATAACCAACCTTAGGGGTATGTTATGGTCTACGGGAAATCTGGACTTTATAGGACCTAGGGTCCTAAAAGCAAAGAGAAGGCAGAGTCCCCTCAGAGTGGACGGCATTCTGCAACTCCCAACACTGCAAATGAGGACAAGGCTGTTCAAAGGAAGGCGCATGCAGGCCCTGTAGCTGTTGCATCCAGGTCTTGGGTTAAGCCTTTTTTGCAAATACGGTACACACATGACAACTAAGTGTGATTGTCAGTCCACGGTATCAGGTCTTCCATAACACACTCCAGATTCAGAGGTCTACCTTGTGAAACACAAGGAGATGCAGAACTCAATCATTACTGCAGACCCCCAGGCACCTTTGCGTCGATGCCCGGGAGTTTCTGAGGCCCAGAGCAGGGTTACTACAGAGAAGTCCCATGTAAGGCCGGGTCCTTCCCAGCACACTGAGTCTACTTTGGGGACCTGAGAGTTACTGCAGCAAGGTTCCCCATCTCCTGGAGGCCCTGACGCCTTCAGGGAGCATACAGCTAATCAGAAGCCAGCAGTCTTCTGCTTCCCGTCTCTGGGCTGCCCTGGGCACTTCGAGCCCGGGAAGCCATGCCTCTGGCCCTCCTCCCACCCCAGCCTTATTTCAATAAGCTCAGCCACTCTGCTTTCTGCCCAGCAACAACCCCTGCGGCGAAGAAAGAGTCTGGCTCCATGTGCAGCTGGCAGTGGGGCAGCCAGCAGGAGGACAAGCAAAGGATCCCGATAAATTATTCGGCCCACACAGTACTGTGCAGCCAATTAAAGACACAGCCCTTGGAGAGCCCTGAGGACTGGGGAGCAAATTGGCAACTTCTGCTCCCACTTCCAGGATGGGAAACAAAAAGTGAGGTGTCATGGCCAGGCAGCGGCGGGAAAGCAGGGCGCCCAAGTTCTTGCCCTCACACGTTTGAACCCTAAGTGAACTCCCCTAGCTTCTGGGCAAATCCTTCTGGAGCTTGAACCCTTCCACCTTCTGCCACTGCGAACCTTGTTTCCATTCTCACCTCAAATCTCCAGAAAGGCTCTCTGAAACTTCAAAAGCGACTCACTCAGACGTGGCTCTGGTGGGTGGAATATGAATGTTCAGGAGTCCTGACATCTTCCACGAGGATCTTAAAAAAAAAAAAAGACTTCAAAGAAAGAGTGCTCCTGCTTTGAGAATTTCCCACATAAGTAATAAATGGAAATAATTGCCCTTTTCCATACATCTCTGATCTCATCCAGAGGGACCAGTTTATCAAACCCGCCAGAGACACTGTCAGGAATAGGTTTACAGGCCTCAGCTATGCCTGGAGATACAGGGCCGGCGCGTCAGCTAGCCTCTTCAGAGCAGCTTCCTGGCCGTATGTGGATACTTGGAAATCTGACTATATTCTCTCTGGAGGTAATGATTTTCCTTTTCTGAGTACTAAATAAGCTTTTTTATAAAGAAAAAAGCACAGTACCTTTTTGTGAAATTAAAGTCTGAAACAGCATCTTATTCAGAATACAGTATCATCTCATTTTACAAAGCACATTAGCATTCACATCCACAAGTAGAGAGGGGATAATGTCAAGCATTCAAAGGAAAAGCTCAGAAGTTGGTCAGCACCCAGCCCTCCACTGAGAGATAAGAAAGCGCAGTGTGGGGAAGCTTCTCTGTCGTGCACCCACAGAAGACAAATGATTTGAAGGGGGAAAAGCAAGTGTTTGGAGGCTGATCCTCAGCGGCCACAGAAGAGCAACTACCGCAATGTGCTTTAGAGTGAATTTAGTGAAATACCACTGAGAAGAGAAGAACCCAGCCGCTGGCGCACAGTATGGGCTAACTAGCTCACTCAGCAGCTGAGGGAGTCAGTCAGAGCCGGCCCCAGACAGCGGTCCTCAACCCCAGCTGCAGAGCAGAATTAGCCTGGACATTTAAAAACAAGCGCAATAGGAACTGCGGTTTGATCCCTGGCACCACATGCTGCGCCAGCCACCACCCGCCACCGGGCACGCTGAGCCGGCCGGAGAACAGGCACAGCAGCACATGTCTGTAGTACCAGCACTGGGGAGGCTGAAAGCAGCAGAATCACCATGAGTCCGATCTGTGTAGTGAGACCCTGCAACAACCAAATACATAACAATAAATAAATACAAGCGCAAGGTCCTGAGTTCAACTACCAGTACAAACAAATAAATTAGACAAAAAATAGAAGCAATCAAGCCTAGGTCCAGCTCTGGATCTGGGTCTATCTGGGGAGGCTGAAGAATTTGCTAAGTGATTCTAACATACAGCTAAGACTGAAAGCCTGGCCCAGAACAAGGCCAGGAACCACATCCCTCATAAAGTACATGGTAAAGGATGGGGGAAGGTTTAAATATTATAGTTAGCTTTAAGAGGAAGCTTAGAATAACATCTTTTGTCAACAGCAAGCATGTGATTGCCACAAAAGATTAATAAAGACTAACCTAATTTAAATTAGGCAATTAGGCTTAATAAGAGTCTTATTAAAACAAGAGTTCCCATTTGTCCTTTGGCTAGGGAGACTCGTTGACACAGCAAAATGACAGAGAAAAACACACCTACATTAACAAGGGGGCAGTCATTTAATGCAGAAATCAGTTAACAGAAAGAGACAAAGGCTGAACAACAGATAGGACTTCTAACAATACTGCATAGTGTCACGGATTAGCTCTTACACGGTTGATCTGTTTTCCTTATGATTTCGATCCCAGTGCAAAGACAGAGAAGAGATTTCAATTAAAAAGTAATAATAAGGCAACAGAAGAAGAATCCCCTTGTGACAAGGAACAGCCACAAATAATGTACAAATACCGGGTCCTGACACAATAAGACACCATAAGGACAAGTTCTGAAAATGCTGCATTAAACTTCAACGAGCAAGGAACAATGACAAGAAAATTATACTCGCTCTGTTACGAATCCTTTTGCAAATAGAAATGACTCTCAGGTAATTGTTATATACAAACTTTCTGAAATAAATGGAAATCATACAAAGTTTTCCATCGCAGTTCCTTTTCCACACCTAGAAATGTTCCACGGCACACTGCTCCGTTATTTCTCACAGTCAAAGCATAAGTAGTCATTAAAGCACTTGAATCCACAGTAGTCTTGTCCTTAGAAAGGTCAGGAGGTTCTGCATGATTTTCAGTCAGTCATCCAGAAAGGGCTGCAGGCAACAGGTTGGAATGTAAGAGACGGCTTTGTGCTTGGAATCCTGAAGAGAACTCCGCTTCTCTGCCCTCAGGAGTTGCCGGTACCATCCGGGCCTCGAGTGCAGACAGTCATACCGTGGAGTCCCTGCCAGACTTCAGATGTGCAATCTTGGTCCGGCTAAGAAACGGATAAGCGATGCAGAGACCTCCAGCTGCCACAATAAAACCTAAACTGCACCAGGCGCAAAAGATGGACCAGCTGTAGCCATGTTCCACATCATCGGGCAGGCTATAAATTAGCTTCGGGAGCCGGTTCAAATCATAAGAGATACTGGCAGCATACGTGCAGAGGGAAATGGTGCAAAAGATCCCTATAAATAATACAAAGAGAACAGAGCGATCAGTTACAGCCTTGCCTGCTGCCAGGCAAATGCCAGACAAGATTGTGAGAATGAGATCAACCAATTAGGCAATCACTCCACGTTTATGAAGATCGTAATCCTTTCACTGAAATCAGTTCAAAACAAAAAAACCAACAAATGGCCTGCCAGATAGCTCAGCAGATTAAAGTGCTTGCAGGGGTAGATGCAGGGGCTAGGGTTTGAACAACCAGTCTGCCGTGCCGGCCTCACCCCCAAGGCAAGCTGAGACAGATTGAGACTGGGTGTGGTGGTGACATGCCTGTAATCCCAGCGCTTGGGAGGCTAAAAACAGGAGAATCACTGAGTCTGATCATCGTAGTGAGACCCTGTAGACCCTGTACACCTTGTCCTAAATTCATTAAAAAAAAAAAAAAAAGATTTCATTCCACAAACACTGACAAGACTTCTATATGCCACGCTGTCTCTATCTTACAAATAACAAAGGAAGTTTTATAATTTGAATTATTCAGAATTACCTGGTTTGATTGGTTACTCATGTCAAATTTATGTTTGCTTTTCATTCTTAAAAGCAATTTAATAAAAATTCTATTTCACTGTGCTTTTGAGACAGAATCTTGCTAGGTTGCCCAGTGTGGCCTCTCACTTCTGTGCTTCCTGCCTCAGCCTCTTTAGTGGCTGGGACTCTAAGCCTGTGCCACCACACTTACCTAACAACTTTATTTTTAAGGAAAAAAATCTATAACTTTTCAAACCTAATATGACATAGCTATCATTTCCTTTTGCTCTATACATGACTTGGCAAATATTTACATAGTTGAAATGGCTACACAAGTCTTTTTTTTAATGAATGTAAGTATTTTAATGAACATAAGTACAGACTCCAACACATACTAGGGTCTCAAAAAAAATGTAGTTTTGATTTTTTTCTTTGTTTTTACTAGTACATGTAGTACACAATGCTCACTCGCATTTATAATTAAAGGCAATCAGTATTTCAGTACTGGGGATTGAACCTAGGCCCTCACACATGCTAAGCAAATCAACAACAAAAAAATTTTTGATGAATGAATGAATACTTTGAACTTATGGAAATTAAGTCTAGAAATTTGGAATTGATGTTAAATAGCTGGTAAGAAAACCATTCAAACTGCAGACAACTTGAGGGATACAAAAAAAAAATGGGCATATCCAAAATTTTACTTTTTCTACCAGTACATGTATGTAAACTTGGCTTTCAAGGACTCTAAAATCAGGACGCTGACAAGAACGCTTCCGATGCCCAGCACAGGCCTCTTTAGTGCTGACGGGGTGCCCTGAGGTGGAGCTATGCTCCTCTCGGCAGTGGGGCCCAAGGTGCTCTTCGTGGGCAGGCGTGGAATCAGATCAAGGCAGCTGCCGAGTTGTAGGTGAGTAACAAAAACAGAAACTGGCACCCGACCCGGTATCAGAATGCCCAGTTCTGTCCTGAGTCCTACGGATCTCCATCATACTGCAGCCCATCCCTGTGCACATCTATCTGCTGAAATTTGCCTGAGTCTCCACAGGCACGCGCGCAGATGCACGCTCCTTTGGAAATAAGCACAGACTGCAGAACTGAAAAGACAGTTAATAGAACCAGGACTCCTGCACTCTCCTTCCAATCTGTAGCTTTAAAGATCAAAAACACCAGCAGAAATACAATGCCGAGTAAGTAGCTGTGTGAATGAAATAATGACCACCCTAAAGCCATTTATGACGTGCCACAACTCTGCTTCCACTCAAGCCACGTAAGGGCACACTGCCTCAATCTTTACCCAGATGTTCATTTAGAAAACAAACATTCTGAATTAAGGGATGCTTGATCTGAGATGAGTTGGAATTCACTATTTTTTTTTTTTTTTTTTTTTTTACAGAACTGGGGATTGAACTCAGGCCCTTGTGTTTGCCAGGCAAGCACTTATTCTACTGAGCTATTTCCTCAGCCCCCTCCCCCTTTTTATTTTTTATTTTTGGCTGGTTCAGGCTGCCTTAAGGGTGGGTCTGGTAATGCAGGTGGAGGTGGGGATCAAACCGCAGTATCCTCTGCCTGACTGCATTTGCATGAGCAGGCGCTTAAACAACTGAGCTAACCAGCAGGCCCCCTCTGTTTTTAAACTCTAAAGTGATTTTATTTTTCTAATAAGGGTATGATACCATCTTCTGATTTCTTACTCCATTTTTTATAATACACATACGTGGTGCCTTGGCTCACAAACCTGATTTTTTTTCCATGATTCTGGAAAAGTGAGTTGGACTAGAACGAGATTAAATTCAGTGGTTAGGTTCAATGCTGACCTCACGGACCAGAATGATGGAGAAAATTGAGTTTGTGAACCAAGATTCCGCTGTACCATTTTCAGTTCTCCAAAAGGAAGACCAAGATGGAAATACTACTTTCACAAAGGAATAGGCCATTAAAAAAAAAATAAAAAAGTTCTCCTCTGCTTTTTCCCAAACCTCGGGAAGAGCAAATGTTCTTACACTTACACAAATGTTTGCAGCAGTGCCAAAAGTAAGTCAAATGTTTATGCATAACAAGCCCCTTCAAACTAATGCTGTTTCGTAAGGCCACTAGGGGAAAAAAAAAACCCTCTGTGGAATATCAACGGGTAAAATATAATAATCGAATGACAACCTATTCATAGAAAACAACTCTGTCCTTCCTTCAGCTGTCTGCACGCAGCTCCGTGCCCCAGAGCAAGCACTTTTACACGTAACATCAGTTAAATAACTTTTGAAAGCTTGAGTTCAAACTTACTCTTTTAAGCATCCTTTGATGTCCAACTGGGCTGAGTTGGAATATAAGAAATATGTATTCTAGTCCTAGACTACTACTCTTCATTAGGTGACCTTGACATTACATAACCTTTCTGAGCTTTACTGTCTTCGCCTAGAAAAACAAAGTGAGGGTTTGATTACTAAAGTCTTTGACAGTCTCAAATTTTTATGATTCTGTTAATCCAAAATAAGACACAGAACAAGTATATTTCCCAAAATTTCTTAGTGAATCTAGTAATCTGTATTATGTAACTAAATAAAAATGGAATATTCTATGTATTTTTCTTCATATATATATATATATATATATATATATTCCTTTTGATTTTAAAAATAAATTCCTTTCCCATAAATTCCATAAGATTGCTTTTGGTAAAACAATTTTTCCACTTCACAGTGAACAGAAAAAGGTTATAAGAAATCCCCTAATTTAGGACTTAACCAGGGTGAAGATTTCTCTTTGTCGCCAAAGTTGTGCATGCACATCTGTGCTTTCTCTGGGCACTTGATGTACGCTCACCTCAGGGGCAGTATGTACGATGTCCTAGCAGAATTTCTTTTTTCCAAGCTGCCAGAGGGCTGAAGCTCCCTAGTGCTAGGTGTGGCTCACCAGGAGCACAGTGCAGAGTTTCTTGGTGTGCTTTTGCTTCTGCTCCCACTCCTGAGTCCATCTTGCCTTACACTATGGCTTAGATCTTAACGGTCTCCCACTTCCCCCATGGACAGCCTGCGGCACTGCAGGGAGGTGGAGGGATGCCTAGTGGGTGGAAGGTGAGGTCTAGTGGAAGCTGCTTAGGCCAGTGAAGTCGTGCGCTCAAAGAGGCTATCAGGGCACCCTCCTCCTCTCCCCATCCTCTCTGCCCCTCTGCTTCCAAGCATCATAAGGTGGGTACCTTGGTTCCACTTTGCATTCCATGCCAGGATGCCTTGCCACAGGTCTAGACTGACAGGGTGAAGTGCCCATGGGTGAAAGCCTCCAAAACCATGAGGCAAAATAAATCTTTTTTCCTTCAAGTTGATTTTTCTCAGTTATTCTGAGAACAAGGGTTTAGCAAGACTGGTTTCTTCATGAAACCAATGGTCACACAGGTGAACATTTTAGACCTCCTTACAGAAGTCTCTCACATGGACTTCCCCTTACAACTGGGTCCAAATTTCTTCCTTAAGAACATGAGTCATTTTGGGTTAGAAGCCACCCTAATGACCTAACTTGACTTTCTCTTCAAAAAAAAAAATCTATTTTCTGGGCTGGGGACATAGCTCAACAGTCTAAATTCCTGCCTGGCAAGGGCAAAGCCCCAAGTTCAATCCCCAGTACTGCATGCCATGCTGGTCCCAGAACCACAAGTGTGCTGTGCTGGCCCCCAAATCAGGCATGCTGGCACATGCCTGTACTCCCAGCATTAGAGAGGCTAACACAGGTGGATCACTACAAATCTGAACTGCATAGTAAGACCCTGTATCAAATATATATATATATATATATATATATATATTTTTTTTTTTTTTTTTTTTTTTTTTTTTTTTTTTTCCCCCCCAGAACCGGGGATTGAACTCAGGCCCTTGCACTTGCCAGGCAAGTGCTTATTCCACTGAGCCATCTCCCTGGCCCCAGTAAATAAATTTTTAAAGTCTATTTTCAATTAAGATTATATTCTGAAATTCTGAGGATTAAGGCTTCAATATACAAACTGAGGGATATATAATTCAGCCTACAACATGGGGTGTGTGCGCATGCATACGTGTGTGTGTGTGTGTGTGTGTGTGTGTAATCAAGGAGTAGTGTGTGCATTTCCATTTCTCTTATAGGTCTTAGCAAAACTGTAATATTTTAAATGTCACTAATCAGGCATACAACAATTATGATCTCCTAACATCCAAGACCTAATTCTGATTATATTCAAGGTAGTTTATTTTCACAAGTTCTTGTTGGTCATAGCCACAACTTGTTCAATATTGATGAGGTCAGGAACCTAAAGCACTCTTTCCACTGTTTCCCAGCATGCACTCTGTTTCCCAGCATGCATCTCAGGCAGGCGAGGAAGACTCTTCCTGGGCTTCTTGCTAGCTCCTAATGTCATCTAACAGAGCCAAAGACAGACTCATGAAATCCTGCTAAACAAAACTGAAGTGTACCATAGACGAGATTGTTTTCCTCAATTTGTTTAGTATGTTTGTGATACACAGTAAAT